GTGTTGCCAGGGCCGCCGTGGCCCCACGCTAAGCAAAAGTTCCCGATTGCACGCGCGCGTTGCACTGGAGGCGTCTCGCCATTCACTGCCGACGCGTGGGGCTGGAGCACAGAGTGTTACATCTCATGGAAAGAGCTATCGTGACCAGGGCTGGTCGGAGGGATTGGCCAGGAGGGCTTGTCAGAGTTGGCCGGAGGGCTGGCAGGAGTCCGTGGAGTTGGCTGGAGGCCGGCGTCACGTCAGAGCGACCTTCCTCCTTCTCCTCCTCCTCCTCCTCCTCCTCCTCCTCCTCCTCCTCCTCCTCCTCCTCCTCCTCCTCCTCCTCCTCCTCCTCCTCCTCCTCCTCCTCCTGGCCTGCGCGCCTGGACTCGGCGTGCCCGCGGCCCCCGGAAGCGGCGCACCAGAGGCCACGCTTGCCCAGGGTCGCTCTCGTGCGCTCGCAGTGTGTGGTCGAGGAGGGTTGGCTGGGACAGCGCTTCGATAGGCAGTTCGCCCCGAGGCGGCCCAACCTCCTCCTCCTCTCCTCCCCCTCCTCCTCCTCCTCCTCCTCCTCCTCCTCCTCCTCGTCCTCCTCCTCCTCCTCCTCCTCCTCCTCCTCCTCCTCCTCCTCCTCCTCCCTCTTCCTCCTCCTAAGGGGCCCCAAATGTGCAGGACGCAGAGCGCAGCTGCGGTCGCCCGGAGGCACGCCTACCAGGCGGGCAGGCGGCGGGCACGGAGGTACTCGCAGGCCTTCGAAAAGAGGTGCGGTGAGACTGCGAGTGGTGTCGAGAGACGTGGCTCCAGCGATCGTGGGCCGCTCAAGAATATGTTCCCCACATCCTACGCGGTATTTTCTGTCGCACCCCCGCCCAGGAAAGAACACTCACCTCACCCTCTCCTCCTCTTCTTCTTTCGCACTCATCATCATCATCACCATCATCATCATCATCATCATCATCATCATCACCATCACCACCATCATCATCAGCATCATCAGCGTCTTCATCAACATCACCAGCAGCATCATCATCATCATCATCATCATCATCATCATCGTCATCATCATCATCATTAGCATCATCAGCATCATCACCATCAGCAGCATCATCGTCGTCGTCTTCGTCACCATCACCATCATCGTCGTCATGGCCACCACCCATCATCATCACCGTCAGCCTAATCATCATCAATCCTCATCAAAAGCATCATCATCAGCAGCATCATCATTATCATTCCCATTAGCATTACCGTTGATATTATCATCATCATCATCATCATCATCATCATCATCATTATCATCATCACCATCATTACCACCATAATCATCATCATCATTATCACCATGATTGTCATCATCATCAGCAGCATCGTCATCGCCACCGTCATCATCATCAGCATCATCATCATCAGCATCATCATCATTACCATCATCATCATCATCATCATCATCATCATCATCATCATCATCATCATCGTCACCATCATCATGATAATGATCATGATGATGATGATGATGATCATCATCATCATCATCACCATCGTCATCATCATCTTCATCATCATCATCATCATCATCATCGTCACCACCATCTTCGCACACTCTGACACACTCACACTCTCACGCATTCCTCTCAAGGAGGTCTCGAGTGGGAGCCTTGTCGGTGAGTTCATTGCGAGGAAGTCTCGAGCGGGAGTCCCCTCCCTATGGGGCCCGCGCTTCATATTAGTAATCCGAGGCACATCGTCGATTCGTGCTTATCGAGTCGCCAGAATTTCATTCCCAGCACTGATTCCAAGCGCCCAGCTCCAAGCTCTCAGAAGTAAACTCCCATGCCTCATTTTGCAGGTCCGGAGGCAACTGTGAGCCACTTCGGGCTTCTCGTGCTCCCAGAACGCCACTCCTGGGGCTGATTTTGCAAGTCCAGAGCCCACTGTAGACCACTTCTGGTTCTTGGTGTTCCCAGAATTTGTTTCTTGGAGCTTCTTGTGACTGTCTGGAGCCAACTTTGAGCCACTTCGGCCTCCTCGTGCTCCCAGACCTCCACTCCCAGCACTGACTTCGAGTGTTCAGAGCCGACGCCACTTCGGGCTTCCCGTGCTCCCAGAACTCCATGATTGGGGATGATGTCGAGTGTCAGGAACCAGCTGTAGGCCACTTGGTGCTATTCGTGCTCACAGAATTCAGCTCCTGGTATTAATTTTGCGCTCGCATCCTGTCATCCCTGGCATCCTGGCATCACCGGTACCTCTGGCGTCCCTGGCACCCTGGCATCTCTGGCAACCTGGCATCCCTGGCATCCAGGCACACGCCCCACGGTTCCTACGGTCTCACAGGTCCCACAGCCCCCGCAAATCGCACACGCCCCACAGGCCGCACAAGTCTCACGGGCCTCACAGGTCTCAAAGGCCCCCCAGGTAGCACAGGTCGTTCAAGTCCCACAGGACTCAGAAGTCCCATACGCCTCACAGGGGGCACTGGTCCCACGGCTCCCATAGGTCGCACAAGTCCCACATGTTCCACGGGCCCCACAGGTCCCACAGGTCGTACGGGTCCAAAATCTTCCGCAGGTCTTATAGGCATATCTAGGCCGCACAGGTTGCATAGGCATCCTTGTGAACACTTGGATCTTGCGATGCTGGCACCCTGGCACCTGGCAAGCGGGCAATCCTGGCATCCTGGAATCTTGCCATGCTGCCATCCAGGCCTCCTGTTTACCTGGCATCCCTGGCATCATGTCATCCTGGCATCTTGGTGTCTTGGTATCCTGCCTTCCTGGCATCCTGGCATCCTGGCGTCCTAGCATCCTGGCATCCCAGCATCATCTCCATCGTCGGTCGCCGATTGTCGCACGCATGAGCGTCGAGGAGATTCTCACGCGGGGCCCCACCGTCGGAGTAATCATTATTGTCCCTGAGTTTTGGTTGTAAGTTTTTTTTCGGTGTGGCGCATCCCGCAGGCACGGTTTGCCTTTCGCCGCAGAATGCACGCTCATGCCAGGAACTTGGCACAGCACTGTGAAGAGACATGAGGAACGTCGATCATCGGCCGCCCGCCACAAACAAGTTGCCTTTGAAGCGCTTGGACTCCCTCTGGTTCTCTCCACAGCACGCAGCAGGTGGGAACCCAGGAGGAGGAGGAGGAGGAGGAGGAGGAGGAGGAGGGGGAGGTGGAGGAGGAGGAGGAGGAGGAGGAGGAGGAGGAGGAAAGGAGGAGGAGGAGGAGGTGGGAACCCCCTTCTGCTCCCCGACCCGTGGCCCTCGTGGCCCGCGCGAGCCCCGCCTCCGCGCTCACCCTCGGCCTGGCGCCGGCGCCCCCTCGCGCCGCGGCGGCCTCCGACGCGCGGCCGCCGGCGCCGCCCCCGGAGGCCCGGCCGAGGCCCTCTCTGCCCGGGCCGCCCGCCCGCGGGGCGGCGGCGCGCGGCAGTCCGCGCCGCCGGCCGCGGCCCCCGCGCCGCGGCCGGCGGCGGCGAACCCGCCGCGCCGCGGAACCCGCCGCGGGCGGCGGCGCGCCGCGGGCCGCGCCGCCGGCCGCGGCCCCCGCTCCGCGGCAGGCGGCGGCGGGCTCGCTGCTGGCCGTCGGGCGTCGCATAATCAAGGGTGGGGCGGCGAGGGGCGGGGGGGTGAAGGCAGGTGGGCGCGACGCGGGAACGACGCTTTCTCCTCACACCTCGAGCCTCGAGCCTCGATCCTCGCACCTCGATCCTCGCACCTCGATCCTCGCACCTCGATCCTCGAACCTCGATCCTCGAAGGACGCATCCTCCTCGCACCTCGAGCCTCGATATTGCGCCGACCTTGGCGCGTCAGCTGCTCCCCTCGTTTCCAGTGCAGCGTGCTGCGCGGGCGGCCCGGCGTAAGCCGCCGCGCAAGGTCGCCATGCCATCTCGCGCAAGGCCTTTCTTCGATCTTTGGGGGCCGAGTTTTGTGGCACGACTTTCGGCTGGCTCTGCAGCCGAGGGCGGATGCACACCGAGGTCTGCTTGGTGGAGTCCCTTTCCCGTCGGTTGGGAAGCCGGCAGTTTCCTCGTCCTCCGTGCCACCAAGACATGATTGTCGCTCTGGTGCACCGTTTGTGCATCCGGGGGGCCCTCAAGGGGCCCTCTCTGGGCCCAGAAGGGGCACGCAAGGCTGCACGCTCCTTGGCCCCCCCCTCACACATGGAGAGCCGCGTCCTCGGTCCACACCTGCGGGGTTGAAGCAACGCTCGTGGACGTGTCGTGGGGGCTCCCCGGCCACTGTGCGGACGCTGAGCTACACGGTCGGTGCTCTGCCTTCCTGGGGCCCGACTGTGCTCTGGCTCGCTATGAGCATTTGGCACGCGTGCGGAGCTGCACTGCCAATGCCATGCTTTTCCCTGTGGCTTTGCTGTGTTCCTGCTCTGGACGCACACCGCGCTGTCATGTGGCTCTGCGGCGCTCCTGCTCTGAACGCATACCGCCTGAGGTGGCGGAGAGCTTGAGAGATCTATCCAACAAGTGGTGGATCGCCTCCCCCATACAGTCGGACCTGATCAGTCAGGTCGACCATGCCAAATCGAGGGTACCCTTTATGTCCTGTGTTTCGCGACCCATGCCTTCTTACATTCCTGTGGCAATTTTGCCCTCGGAGGGCCTTGTGTCCTCTCGCGCTTCCTCTCCCATCAAGTCCGCCGGGTACCCGGACGTCCTCCGATCGGATGTTTTTTCCAATCCGCGGCCCCAGAGCTCCAGACCTCTTCCTTGGGGCTAATCCTGCGCCCCCGATCCATGTCTGATGGCCCCAGGGCCCGACAGCGGGCCCCGGAGGCGGAAATCGAGGACACGCCTGGATTGAAGACATCACAGCGTGGAAGCCCATGCCAAGAAGGACCCTGGCTTTCTTGGGCTTCGGCGGTTTTGCCGTGGAGAGCGTGACGCTCCCACGCCACAGAGAATCCGTGGACGTCCTGGGGCCTCAGGGTTGGGCTTCTTGTGTGGGAGGTCTCTCGTGGTCGAGCTCTCGCTGCATCGTCGAAGGTCTCTGGGTGAGCCACACGCCCCACAGGCCTCGGCGCCCGACGCGGGCGGCGTCGGCGCTGCCGCGGCGAGCGCGGGGCTCCTGCAGGTGGAGCGGCTCCTGCGGGGGGCCCGCGGGCAGCTGCGGCGCGGCCTCGGCGCGCCGGCGCCGGGCTCGGCCGCCATGCGGCTCGTGCTGGGCGGCGCGCTGTGCCTCTTCGCGGTGGTGATGGTCCTCTTCTGCGCGAGGCGGCTGTGCCAGTTCTCGCAGCCAGAGCCGGAGAGCGAAGAAGAAGCAGGTCGCCAGAAGCATCCACTCGTGGCGCTCCGCGCGGATTCCTTGGATCCGCGCTGGGCCCCTCTGGTGGCGCCTCCGGCCCTGCCCCTGGCGCGCTCGCGCGCGCCAGGGAGGGGGTCAGCGCGGGCCAACGACACCCGCGCGGAGCGCCAAACGTTTACGTCAATAATGCTGTTTATTCCCCTTCTAGGAAGGCGCCCAGCACGATCGGCGGAAGGTCCGCGGCCAGGTCCTCGAGGCCGCGGCAGCGGTCAGGTCCGACAGGGCGCAGCCCGCGTCCCGCCGGGCGACGTCCCACAAGGTGTCGTTCCAGAATTTTGCCGGCGGCGTGAACAGGGCCAGTAGTGCCCGCCAGGCTGTCGCCGCCCTGGGCCGGCAGAAGTCCTCGCGGCCGAGGCCCCAGGTGCCGGGGGTCGACCACGCGTAACAGTGACCTCTCCCTCTCGCTGGAGTGACCTGTGGTGCGGGCCCAAGAGGCCCCCCGATCGCCGAGCGCGATACGGTAGTAGCGTCTTGCACGCCTGTGTTTAGTTCTTCCCGCGGCCCCCCGAAAGCCGCGGACCCAAGGTCACTCCTTGCCCGAGGGCACTCTTGCGTGCAGTCGGCGGGGGCTTCCGAGGCGGACCCCGACGCTGTGCGGTACAATATTGGCTCGCGCCCGGGGTCCGCCGCGAGCGTGCACGTGGTGGCGCAGGGGACCACGGCGCACTGGCAGAGCGAGCCCAGCCCGCGCTACGTGCGACAGACCAGCACCCGGAGGAGCCTGGCGGGCGGAGGGGGAGGAGGAGGGGAAGGAGGGGGAGGGGGCTACGTGCGACAGACCAGCACCCAGAGGAGCCTGGCGGGCGGAGGGGGAGGAGGAGGGGGAGGAGGAGGAGAAAGGAGGAGGAGGGAGGAGGGGGGAGGAGGAGGAGGAGGAGGAGGAGGAGGAGGAGGAGGAGAGGAGGAGGGAGGAGGAGGAGGAGGAGGGAGGCGGAGGAGGAGGCGGAGAGGAGGAGGAGGAGGAGGAGAGGAGGAGGAGGAGGAGGAGGGGGAGGAGAGGAGAGGAGCTGAGCAGGAGGAGGAGGACAGCCACAGGCCAGACGGAGGAGCCTGGCGGGCAGCGGAGGTGACGCCGTGAGGCCGCTGCCCCCGCTGTGCCCGGGCAGCGTGCCGCCCCCCCACGAGACGCGCTTCTCGGTGCCGGTGGACACGCTGGCGGTGGCGGGCGACAACGACCTCTCGGGGGTTGCTCTAGAGGTGCTCCTGGCCCGAGGCCCCCCCCCGCTCATGTCGTGGGCTTTTGAAGGGCCCACCAGGGCCCCCCCATGGTGGGCCTCGTGAGGAGTGCTCTGGAGGCCACGTGGGGGCCTCCTTGGAAATCCTGGGGGCACCTTGGGCCCGGGGCACTTCTGGCAACACCCGATCCTCTTCGACGTCCTGGACCTCACCGACGACTTCGGCATGCGCGTGCAGGCGCTGCCCTGTGCCGGGCCTCAGGTCGGGCCTGGGCTCGCCATCCCGGGCAGTGCCAAGGGCGGGTCGCCACTGCGGGTGGGCCCTCGGCTCCTCTGGGAAGGCGAGGATTGCGAGCTCGAGGGTGCAGAAAGCCTCCCAGGCATGATCGCATCGTTAAAAAAAGCATGACGGCAGGTTTTTCGCCATTTTCGGCCTCGGGGGGCCCTCGCCGGGCCTCGGGGCCGTCAAAAAGCGGCTCGGGATGAAAATCCGGTCCCGGGGAAAGGTTGGGACTTCCAGGGACCCCGCATTGAAAAAATCAGGACGTCGCATGTCTGGGCTTGGACGCCTCTGGGCGTTTTCGGGAGTCCTGGGTGATTGGGTTCTGGGGGGGGGTGTCTCGTGGAGGAGCGGCCGGCCCTTTATGGGTGACAGTTGGCCTGCGGAGGCTAGCCGAGACAAACCCGGGGGGGCTGGGCTGTTGTGGGCAGCCCGAAGCCACAACCCAGGCATCCTCCGATCTGATTGTTTTCCAATCCGCGGCCCCAGAGCTCCAGACCTCTTCCTTGCGGATACTTTTGCGCCCCCGATCCCTGTTTGATGGTCCCTGGGCCTGACAAAGGGCCCGGAGGCCGAAATCAAGGACACGCCTGGATTGAAGACATCATAGAGTGGAAGCCCATGCCAAGAAGCACCCTGCTTGCCTCCAGGGTGCCCTGAGTTTCTTGGGTTTCGGCGGTTTTGCAATGGCAAGCGTGACGTTCCCACACCAAAGAATCAATGGATGTCCTGGGGTCTCAGGGTTGGGCTTCTTGTGGTCGAGCTCCCACTTTATCGTCGATGGTCTGGGTAAGCCACGCCCCAGGCCTCGGCGCCCGACGCGGGCGGCGGTGACACCCCATCCTGTTTGGCACTGCCCAGCCATCTACCTGGGGCGCCAGTCGAAGGACTCGAGCGCCACCGTCCGGAGGCTGGGGCGCGGGCCGGTGGGCGGCATCCGGCTGGAGCTCCGCGCGGCCGACGGGAGCGTCTACGGCGAGCTGGCGCCCCACGCGGACAGCTCCTTCCTCCTTACAAGGGGCGACCAGGCCTTTCCTCCTCGTCCTCTTCCTCCTCCCCCTTCTTCTCCTCCTCCTCCTCCTTCTCCTCCTCCTTATCCTCCTCCGCCTCCTCCCCCTCCTCCTCCTCCGCCTCCTCCTCCTCCTCCTGCGAGCCGGGAGGAGGAGGAGGAGGAGGAGGATGAGGAGGAGGAGGAGAAGGAGGGACTCCGAGTCCAGCCAGGGCGCCATGCTTCAGGGTCAGCGCGCGAGCACGGATATATCAATTGGACCGCAGGAGTTCCAGTCCTGTCAGTCCTCATCCTCCTCCTCCTCTTCCTCCTCCTCTTCCTCCTCCTCCTCTTCCTCCTCCCGCTTCCTGCTGCTCCCAGCGGGCAGTTCCATTCGGAGGCTTGCTCTCGCGTCCCCCTCGGAGGCGAGCCCGCGAGGTGTAGTGCTCCTCTTTCACACTCATCGTCTGTTGCACGGCCCGCGCGATCGGACGGCCGCGAAGATTGCCACTGATATGCCTCAGGTGTAGGGCGGAGAGGAAGGAGTCATCATCGACGCTGTGCCTCCTCCTCCTCCTCCACCTCCTCCCACTCCTTCTCCTTTTCTTTCTCCTCCCCCTCACCCCCCCTCCCCCTCCATGGCTCACGCCATTATGTTCCAAGACAGGCCACAGTGGCCAATCTTGGGCCCCCTGCCTTGCCTGGATTGCCCCAGGTGGAGAACATCAGCGCGACACCTTGCAGGATCCTGCCTAAGGTCTTTTTTGTGTGCATTCGTTCGCTGGGTTCAGTACGTCGTGTGCACGCGGCGCGGCTGTAACGGCTGAGCTTTGTGCATCGCTTCTGCCAAGCACTGTATGCAGTGCGGCGGTCGATTCAATAATGCCGAAGTTTCGGGCGGTGCATGAGGAGGTATTGGTGGAGCTGGTGGCGGAGGCCGAGCCCCTGATGCTCATCCTCCCACCAAGCCAGGACGTTGGCATCGCGATCAATCCCGCAGAATGTGATGACAGATTTGAGGCAGATCCAGTGGCGCTGGCACAGGCGCAAGTCACCTCCTGGAAGAAGTGGAAACGAAACGGCGATGAGCACTGGACAGCGCTGGCGAGGCTCAAGCAGGCAACGGCTTCAGTTTTGGCATCCAAGTCCTTAGAGTAACATGCGCAATCTCTTTCAGATAGGCCCGCAGTGCAGAAGCAGAAACGTTCATCCCGGACATCAGGGATATCGGAGTTGTCCAGTGTCGTCGTTGAGACCAGCGGCAAGCACGTCAAGCTGGTCAGCGAAGTCGAGCCCACGAAGAGGGACATCCATCAGCTCGAGAAGCTGTTCGACCTCGCCACCCAGATGTCGACGCAGGAGGCCACCTAGGACGGAGACCTCTTCGAGACGCCGCAGGGAGTGATGGCAGCGCGCATGCTGACGGGCTCCAAGGCCCCCCCCCGAGCTATGCAGCAACGTTTCGTTTCGGAGCTGGCGGGCCTGTTCGACTCGTTGCACGACCAGCACAAGAAGGCGCAGATTCAGCATGATGACGATTCAGTTATTCCCCTGTGTCGGTTGTTCCCCACGTGGAGAGCCTGAACGTCCTGGCCGAAACGCGGCCTCCCAAGCAGCGGACGGAGCTATGATGGCCCCAGCTGGCGCAGCAGGTTGTGAAGGCTGAGGTGCTGCGGCGGTGCCGTCGCCAGACGACGACGACGACGACCGCAGCCAGATGGATCAGCCTACTTCCCTGATGCGCGCTTCCGCGGCGCTCACCTCCGTGGCCGAGGGCAGGTCCAGGATCCACGGTGAAGGGGGTCCTGAGGCCAAGCGTGCCAAGGCAGCAGCGGCAGCGGCCGCAGCAGCCCAGGCGTCGCTTCCGTCTAGGCTTTAGCAGCAGTCAGTCATACACAGTTGCCACGATTAACGGATCATGCTGGTCATCAGCCACAGTTCTTTCGAGTCCGAGGTTGCCAGCAATTTGGTTTGTTCTCAGGAGTGCAGGCTTGAGGCAGGTGGCGCCACTGTCCGTCAAATACAGTGGTGCTCCGCACGAGGGTGGTTGGCCCACATCGCCCCTGCCGCTCGTAACTCCAACTGGGAGCTTGTCTCAGGGGTGGTAATTGTGGTTACCTGTGGCGTGGGTCCAGCCGCCCAAGGTTCCAGATAGGATTGACACGCCCAGACTTTCGGGAGTCACCATCGAGGCTCCTCGAGCACCCACTGTCGGGCTCCCCAGCGCTTACTTTCAAGCCTTTGTGGGCCCCGCTGCGACCAATTTAATTCTGCTCGCTGCCAGTGGTCAGTTCTCAGGGCAGATGGCCAAACCCATCGCTGCTGCTGGGGTGTTCAACCTTCAGCCAGAGCGTATCCAGAAGAGCATTCATTTTGTTGGTAGATCGACCATGCAGGCGGCGGCCTTAAGCGTGGCCACTTACCGCGCCAAGAAACCGACATCTACTTTGGACGATGTGGTGCATAGCCCAGCGCATTACCCTGGTTGAATCCGCCACGCACGTTTGTATCGTGCCCGCTGTCGCCGCATGGCCCAGTGCTGGCAGATTTGAAATGCCCAAATAGGTGTATGATCCCGACGCTGCCCAGGCCCCAGCAGCGCCCCACTAAAGTGCTTGTAGGACCACAGCACCCAGACGTGAGCTGGCATCGACCGTTGCCGCGATGGACCCCTCACAGCCCAACTTTTCGGTAATGCCACTACGCCACCCGCCGACCAGTATCGCAAGACAGCCCTAGACCACGCGTGCTTCACCCTTGTCCAGGACTTGGAAGTTATACGTAGTAAGAAACGGATGCGCCCATCACGCCAAACAAGACCCCAGGGCCCATCCCCCTCATATACAGATGGTCTCGGCTACTGCTAAGTGCGTCCAGGGCCGTAAGGGTTGGACGGCCTTTACCAGGCCCTTGAGATTGTCCAAAGCCAGCTCTATGACTTTCGGCTCAGTATTTGGGATGGTGAAATCTTTTGTTTTCGGGGTGCCCTGGAGTGGCTAGAAGACAGCCCTGAGATGTTCGGTTCGCCCTATGCCCTCGGTCAATTGCTGCGGGAAGTTCGCTCTGAGCTCCAGGCTGGTCGGCTCGTCGCGGAGATGGGCGTCCATATGTTTAGACGAGCTGCTCGAACATGTCGACTGCATCCTCGAGTTCGAGATGGCCGCCGAGCGCAGTAAGGACGGGAAGAGGAGGGATTGTCTTCAGTCGTCCATGAAAGGAAGTATGGATGGGATGGGCTCACTTATGGACTTAGGACGCGAAGCCTGGCAGCCTGTTCCTGTTTCTTGTCAGCAGCGGTATTCGGGTCGACATCAGCATGTTCTCCTGGCCGAAGTTGACGGGTTACCCCAGATTTGGAATGTTCGGCCCGGTGCCTCGCACCAGTTGGTTCCCTTTTTCGATGATCGAGTCGCCCTCGGTCCGATCCCTCCCCTCCCCCAAACAGACCCTGCAATGTTGCGAAGGTTTTCCTGCCCAGCTCGGCTTCGCCTGGGGCGGCGCCCATCCCGGGCGCTGCGCCTTGCTCGGCGACGAGCAGGCAGGCCACGTTTGTAAGTTGATCGAGCTCATTGAGCAGCTCGGACGCATGCCCGCCCAAGTCTAAAGCACTGTTTACACCCTCGTGCTAAGACGCAATCAAATAAGCAACGAGATCATCCCCGCCGAGCCCGCCCGCGCGCAGGCCCATAGGCACGCGACCCGCTCTGCGCCGCGCTCGGGCCAGACGGCCGCGATCGGCCGCGCGAGAATGAGGGGCGCACCGTCGCCGCCTGTGCCTGGCGCACCAGGCCGGGTGCTCCATCGTGGAGCTTGCTACTAGCAACTGGCCGAATGTGAGTCTCATTCGAGTCTTGGAGACAAGACGCGTTCTGCCCTGGCTGTCGTGGGATCCTCCCGATTCTCATGAGCTCGCGGCTCGCAAGTGCCTAGCCGAGCGCGCCGATGCTTCAGGCGTTCCTCGGCGCGTGCCGCGCGGAGGCTTTTTGCAGCGCGGCAGCTCTAGATCTGTGGCGCTGCAATCTGTCCGCGCCAGCGTGGGTCGCCCGTGGCGAGAGCTTGTGGCCGATTGCAGATGCGCCGCCCGCCTGATCCAGATGCATAGCCCTGCCCCCTTCGACCAGTGGGCTAGCGCGCTCAGCCGCAGTAGAGTGGCTTTGTTCTTCGATGATCTCCCTTTGCAGTACGGCGCCAACAGCTATAACGTTGCCACCAATCAAATGAATACTGCCGCCCAGTCGCTGGCTAGTTGAATCGCGCGCGAGCTCGCATGCCAATCGTCAACAAGCAGAGCAGTCGATATACATGCCCGACCCGCCAATGACGTATATCCTAACTCAGCAAGCGGCCTGTGAAGGACGAGGGGGGTACACGACCACAAGCATGGCAGCATGACCAGGATGCGAAACTAGGACCGGGCCCGCCTCCTTCCTCCCCCTCCTCCTCCCTCCCCCTCCTCCTTCCTCGCCCCTCCTCTCCAGGCCTCTGGCGTCGAGATATGTTTCCAGCACGGGGCCCCTGGAGTTCTCATCGCATGTTGGTTCGGCCTGGATCGCCGCGATCGCTGTTCGAGGTTCCCGGGGCCCTGGCACGGCCCCGCGAGCTCCAAGCTGCGAAAAGACACCAGGATTGGGCAGGATGATGATGATGATGAGGAGGAGGATAAGGAGGAGGGGGATGAGGATGATGATGATGATGATGATGATGGTGATGATCATGATGATGACGCTGATGATGATGATGATGATGATGGTGATGATGATGATGATGCTGATAATGATGAAGGCGACGGTGATGGTGATGGTGATGGTGATGATGCTGATGCTGATACTGATGCTGATGCTGATGCTGACGATGATGATGATGAGGATGATGATGATGATGATGCTGATGCTGATGATGATGATGCTGATGATGATGATGCTGATGGTGATGATGATGCTGATGCTGATGCTGATGGTGATAATGATGATGATGATGAGGATGAGGATGAGGATGAGGATGAGGATGATGATGAGGATGATGATGCTGATGATGATGATGGTGATGATCATGATGATGACGCTGATGATGATGATGATGATGATGGTGATGATGATGATGCTGATGATGATGATGAAGGCGACGGTGATGGTGATACTGATGCTGATGCTGATGCTGACGATGCTGATGATGATGATGAGGATGATGATG